TCGGATATTCGCCATGTATCTGGATTGAACAACACTGTGACTGATGCCCTGTCGCGCATCTGTTCCCTCGCCCAAAAAGATAACATGGACCTTGTGAAACTGACTCGTCTTCGATAGAAAGATACAGGGGTTCAACACGAGATTTCAAGAACAACTTTGCAGTTAACCGGGAAACCTTAAGCATAGGAAGAGACACTATTCTTTGTGACGTCTATACGAGTACTCCTCGCCCCATCTTGACCAAAAGTTATCGCCATAACGTCTTCAATGCCTTTCGTGACTCATCACAGCCAGGCATTCGAACTACTGTCAAGATCATCACTAGTCGGTTTTGTCAGCCTGGTTTTAATAAGGAAGTTGGGGAATGGGCTCGTGCGTGCCTAACTTTCCAAAAGCGCAATGTTTTAAGACACACCAGAAGCCTTCTTGGCACCTTTCTCATCCCTGATGCTGGATTGAAACTCGTTCACGTAGATCTGTTTGAACCCATCCTAGAATCTCGTGAACAAACTTATATCTTAACCTGCATTGACAGTTTTACACGGTGGCCTGGAGCAGTACTCATCATGGATGTGTCTGCTAAAACAGCCACCCCTATCTCTAGAACGATGGTCCGCAAATTTTGGATGCCCATTCCCATAACAACTGATCGTGGGCGGCAATTAGAAAGTGGCTTATTCTCAGCCTTGACCAAAATCCCAGGCTGTAGGCGTTTTAGAACAACAGCCTACCATCTTCAGGCGAATGGTACTGTAGAACGTTTACACCGGCAGTTGCAGGCTGGGTTGTCAGCTGCGAACAATGTATATTGGGCTGAACCACTGCCTTCAGTCCTTCTAGGCATACAAAACGTCTTAAAAAGTGATGCTAGTTGCATTACTGCTAAGCCAGCACATAGCACAACAATGCAACCGCCAGGTGAATTCGTTTCTCCCTCTAGCTTCTCAACAGCTGCAGATCACGTCTCCAGCGTTAGCAGGCTTACAAATGGAATGCGTTCAGTTAAACCCCTCCGACCACAGTCTATAGACGTCTTTTTTCACCCAAGTTTGAAAACTTCTTCATATGTATTTGATCATCAGGACTCTGTACGTCACTCTCTGGGACCCACATACTATGGAACATATAAAGTCATTAAACGTATGGACAAATTCTTTGCTTAGACGAAAACGGCCACGTGGACTCTGTAAGCATCAGTGTGAACTGTAAGGTTTCCAGAACATCTTGACATGTGACTCACACTAAAAGACTAACGCAACCCAAACAATTTATCGCATTGCGGTACACTTTTTCCAGGCACATAGTATCAGCCAGATTTCATAAACTGTCAATGTCCAGCTCTTGCTACGCTGTCCCTCGAAGACTTGCAGAAACGCTTTGTATTAACCGACGCAAAAACCAGAACACCGATTGGCGACTCAAGAATCCTTTATTCTTACGCCAACATATAACATACGCAAGGTCTAGGAATAAATGTTATAACAATAAATCACGGTGATACTTCTGATAGTTTTTAATCTTCCTTCTGAACAGCGAACGATGGGACGATGACTGTTGGATTGATGACCCGCGAAAAATATGGGGAAGTGTAATCCCACTCGTCAAGCAATGATCTGAAACAGAGAGCAAAGCGCACGTTAGCAGCGTGATCACACAAGTGTTGCGTGCTAGTAAGAACGAAGACTCAAGGTCAAGTATTATATTTACAACCAATCGCAATACAATTAGATAAGAGGGAAGGGCACTCCTATTGGTCATCCGTTGCCTCGTCTTGGGTAACCAATCCCTGCATACTTCGCAGCCAACCTGAAAGTAGACAAGCATGGTTTGAACATTAGAAAACCGCCAAACTTACCATGCCTTACACTACCCCCTCTCCCATAGGAGCACTGTCCGCAGTGCTAGGTGACTGTTCCTGCGGGACTTGTCTGAACTAAGGCCTGTTGTCGAAAAGGTTTTAGTCTATTGAAGTGTGTGACTAGACTATGAGAGGAATTCGGTTCCTGAATCCTACAGGTGCAGTCACTTAGTACCTCTACTACAGTGAATGGTCCTTCCCAGCGTTTATGGAATTTAAGAGCTTTCCCTTTAGGTGGTGCCTCCTTAAGTAGCATCACCTTGTCTCCTGGCTCCACTGGTGATCCATGTGCTTTCCTATCATAGTATTCTTTCTGGTACCTCTGGTTTGTTTGGAGTATATCCCTAGTCATCTGATGTACCTTGTTCAGGTTTCGTCGAAGTCTGATTACGTGTTCGGATGCAATCAGTGTATCCTCTCCTAGTGTGTTTGAAGTCAGATCGATTGGCAACCGGAGTTCTCTTCCAGTGACCATATAATGAGGCGTTTGACGCGTAGCTTTGTGAATGCTTGCTCTGTATGCCATTAAGCACTGTGAGAGTGATCGGTCCCATTCCCTGGGGTTGTTTTGATCTACAAATGCCTGCAAGAGGGATTTAAGTGTCCGATTGGTGCGTTCAACCAAGCCATTTCCCTGTGGGTGGTACGCGGTAGTGCGTGTCTTCCGGATACCCATTATACGACAGAGTTCGCTGACAACGATACTTTCAAAGTTGGATCCTCGATCTGAATGCAGTTGAAGTGGTGCCCCCCAACGGCTGACCCAGTGGTCAAAAATTGACTCTGCGATGGTTACAGCATCAATCTGTGGGATCGCAATAGCCTCGCACCATTTGGTAAAATGGTCTACCATGACTAAAATATAGTTATTATTTCTGGAAGTTACTGGGAGAGGTCCAACCAAGTCTATTTGTACTAAGTCATTCGGATGGCCAGTTATAATGGGTTCTAAGGGTGCCTTATTATATTTGTGCGGAGCCTTAATAGTTTGGCATACCTCGCAGGAGTCACAGAAATCTATGATGTCTTTCCTCTGGTGAGGCCACCAATAACGTCTTTTAGCCGCTTCAATCATTTTCCCTGAGCCCGCGTGGCCTAACTGCTGGTGTAATGACAATAGTACTGTGGGTAGTGCCGACTGTGGAGCCACAACGCGACGAGTATAAGTGGGTCCATGTTGGTAGTAGAGGATGTCATCGACAATTTTCAGATTATCCCACAGAGACCATAAACACCGGGTTTCCCATCCAAGCTTACTTATTTCCTGGGTTGTCGGTCGTTCGCCTCCATTTCGAACACGTTCGTAAATCAAGGCCAGTTCAGGGTCTGAAGACTGAAGTTCAGGCCAACTATATGAAGTATGAGCCTCTAGTTGGAGCAGCGAAACTTGTGCTTCGGTGCATGATGGGCAGTCACCGTGATACCTAAGAGGTTTTCTTGACAATGCATCTGCATTTCCATGATTCTTACCCGGTCTATGCATGCATTCGAAGTCATACTCTTGTAGGTGTTCTTGCCATCTGGCAATCTGACCCTCAGCTTCTTTGAAGTTATGTAGCCAGCTAAGGGCTTTGTGATCAGTGCGTACAATGAAATGTCTACCGAGGAGATATGCCCTAAAGTGTTTAACAAAATTGACCAGTGCCAGCATTTCTTTCCGCGTGGTGCAGTAATTCTTCTCACTCTTGTTGAGTGCTCGACTTGCATAGGCTATCACCTTTTCTACTCCATCTGCGTCTTTTTGAGACAAAACTGCCCCGATACCAGAGTCGCTAGCATCTGTATCTAGGATGAATGGACCTGCCTGGTCAGAAACATTGGGATACGCTAGGATAGGGGGGCTACATAAACAGTTTTTAAGTCTTTCGAAGGCTTCCGTAGCTGATGCTGTCCAATTGTAGTCTTTCTTCTTAAGAATGTCGAATAGAGGAGCTGCAAGGAAAGAGAAGTTAAGTACAAAACGTCGATAATACGAGGCTAACCCTAAAAAACTATGTAACTCGGGGGCTGAGTTTGGGAGCGGCCAGTCTTTAACTTCCTGAACTTTTGCTGGATCACATTTAATGCCTTCGGCTGAAACAATGTGACCTAAGAAACACACTTCTTTCCTGAAGAATTGACATTTCGATGGGTTCAGTTTTAACCCAACGGTCTGCATCCGTTCTAATACTTCGGAAATATCACTTAAATGTTCGGTCAACGTCTTACTATGTATGATAACATCATCTAGATATACCAAACACTTACCTGGTATGCAATCACTCAAGACCGTTTGCATGAGGCGTTGGAATGTTGCTGGGGCATTGACTAACCCAAACGGCATTGTTTCAAACTCATACAGGCCTGCTTGTACAATGAATGCTGTCTTTTGCCTGTCATCTGGGTGTACTTCAACCTGCCAATATCCCGATGCCAGATCTAGAGTGGTAAACCAATTCGACCCTCTAAGGCATCAAAAGTGTCGTCTATGCGTGGAAGGGGAAAGCAGTCTCGTCTAGTTAACAGGTTCAACTTACGATAATCTACACATAACCGGAGTGTCCCATTCGATTTCTTAACTAAAACTACCGGTGAAGCCCATGGAGATACGGATGGTTTGATGACATTTTTCTCTAACAGTTCATCAACTAACCTGTTAAGCTCCTTCTGGTAATGTGCAGGTACTCGCCGTGCAGGTTGTCTACAAGGTGGGGCGTTACCCGTTTCTATGTGATGTTGGACCAGTTTTGTTCTTCCCGGGCTTTTTCCATCCCAGTCAAAACAGTCCTCATATTTGTCTAGCATTTTATTAAAGTTGGCAGCCGTTTCCGATGGTAGGGGTTCTATAGTCGTCAGCATTCGCTGTTTCTCATTCTTAGCATCTCCCTGCACGCCAAAAGTGCCGTGCTCTTTGTCGTTCCCTACAATAAATGGGATGGAACAGTCCTTCAGTATAAGAGTCCTTGACTACAATCTATTATTCCGGACAGCTTTTCCAGGAGGTCGACTCCCAAGATTACCTGCCACGGCACCCGGGTAGAGATGATGAAATTGTGTTGAAGTGACAGTGTTCCCAATTTAAGTGGCAGCAGGACCAGTCCCTGGGATTGCATGCAATCTCCATTGGCTGTCGTAAGCCGCAAATTGTGAGTCCCTATTGTTGGCCTAAACGTCTCTGGAACACATGAGGAATGTATGACAGAACAAGTTGCTCCTGAGTCAACTAACATAACACACTTTTTTCCACCTATATAACCTACAACTTTCGGGGAGGAGGTGACACCGATTAGGTTTACAGTAGGCACACAATTCATATCGACATGTGACTCACCTGCATTGTGACCACAACTCCTAGCAAGCTTACCAAACCGCCTGCAGTAGTAGCAATCGTTTCTTGAAGTGGATTGCGACTGTGGGCGTCCTTTCCACGGTGGTGTAGGATTCTGTGCATGCTTTGTTGTTGTGTGCTGATATCCCATTGCGTTTACTTGTGGGCATGTGGTTCCTGGCTCTTCCAGGCTTTCCACTAGGCGTGCCCTAGCTTCCGCTTCTGCCATGGATGCTGGAGTGTGCAAGTTGAAGTCCTTCCTGTAACGGACGTCGACACCCTGCAAGAACTTGGAATATATAGCGTTTTCAACCTCTGAATATGTCTTGTCCTGCATAGCTTGACGCGCAAGCTTGCGGAGACGTAAGGTGAACTGGTTGATAGATTCACCTTGTCTCTGGTTGCACTCGCTGAATCTTTTCAGCGCTTCAATGGGAGGTATTGGTGGCACTATACGTGCTCTTAGAGTACTCAACAGGGTGGTCAAGGGCATATGCACGTAATCCAAACCAATTGTGTACATTTCCAAGGACCGTCCAACAGAATCGATGACGAATGCGTTCGGGTGAGGCACGTTCATCAGATCAATGTATCGGCACACCTTGTCCGACCACAGCTCGAAATCATCACCCACCTCCAGTGTATGCGGCAAGGGATGGACATATCGCGAAGCAGGCTGATTTGACTGAAAAGCTGGAGCCCTCACTTCAGCTAATTGATCCACCTCGTTGGATGCTGTCTGTTTGACAGGAGAAGTGTTCTTGGAAGCCTCATTGGGTCGAGACTTAGAAGAAGAAAGTTTTTTCGTTGGCAGGCTCGCCATTTATGTAATCCCACTCGTCAAGCAATGATCTGAAACAGAGAGCAAAGCGCACGTTAGCAGTGTGATCACACAAGTGTTGCGTGCTAGTAAGAACGAAGACTCAAGGTCAAGTATTATATTTACAACCAATCGCAATACAATTAGATAAGAGGGAAGGGCACTCCTATTGGTCATCCGCTGCCTCGTCTTGAGTAACCAATCCAGCCAACCTGAAAGTAGAAAAGCATAGTTTGAATATCGGAAAACCGCCGAACTTACCATGCCTTACAGAAGTTGGGTTTGAGCGAACCACCATGAATTGATCGTTCAATCTTCAACTACATTGACACTCCCCGGCAAAAAGGGATCCAACCCCTTTTTTCCATCACGACCAATACGCGTTGACTTGGATGCCATTTCGAGAACCTGGATCACATGGACAGAGCTGAAATGGAAAACAAACAGCAAAGCCAACACACCACAAGCATACTCACAGCACAATCTCACGCATCAATGACGACCTGCGCCTTCCAGTTAAAGGCATCCGCTTGACACATCCTCTTGCAACACAATCTCCACTTGCTAGAATTACTCTTGCAGAATGCAACGTGACCATAGCACCATTTCACGATACTCTACGCACATCGTCTTATCTACTCACTACCAATTACCACTGCAATCGCTTGTCACTCATTCTGCCTCAGTTCTAGTAACGGTGACGCATGCGAGCCTCAGTCGTTTACACTCTTCCTCCCCGGCGTGTGGGACCACAGCTAATAATTATCTCCGTATGCATTTCATTCCTAGCAATAGCCTCCCAGGCGTATACGACCAATCTGCTGTCTCTAACATCAATCAATTCATTCATGGATGTAGAAGACTCGAAACAACTTCAGAAGTAAGCACGACGAAAATTTTAACAAAATTATGCAGAAGAACAAGTAAACACAGTGAATCCAAAAACATCAATTGAAATGATACACCACACATATACACAAACAGTACACATAACCTCCAAGATCATGTCTCGATGTAACTCCTTTGAAGAATTGCAGGACTTACACCAGTACGCCTACAACCCTTCTCAGGTTGACGATTGTAAGTTGTGGGATGTCCGGACACAAACAAGATTAACCAACAATTACAATAATTGGAACCCACACAAGTATTTACCACAAACATATGTACAACCAATACATCAAATGTTGTGGATTCTGCCTTGACGAACTACCCTTAAAGAACTGTAGGACTCACAGCAGTACGCCTACATTCCTTCTCAGGTTGATGATCCAAGTGGAAGTCGTCCGGACACAAACAGAATTACCAACAGCTAGATGACAGATGATATCAATTCAGTATATACAACAGGAACATATGTACAAAATCACACAACAAGCACATTGGACTGCTCATTGATGCGCTACCCTTTGAAGAATTGTAGGACTTACAGCAGTACGCCTACAACCCTTCTCAGGTTGACGCCCTAGGTTGGAAAATCATCGCAGAGTTCATTTGCTGACTTCCTTCTATCAGCTATATCCTCAAATCTGAACGGTGACACGCTCATGTCATTGTATCGTAAAATATAGATGACGAACAAACACACGACATATCTGACCAACCAAGCGTAGAAACAGAGTAATTTACACCAAAGATTATAGCATTCAAATAGTAACTTGAAACAAGAAATGCCTTTATTCGTGCAAGTCAGTTTAACAATTACACTCTCGTACACACTTGGCTTATCCTTCCGTAAACTGGCCATTGACTTTCATCCTTTCAAATGCACCTATACTATCATAGTCATAGCACAAGACACTTGAATCCCTGGGCGTCTCTGTCATTGTGGACGACAACACCAACAACGACTGAGTGACACGTGTTGATGAAATTAGCAGCGGATCATAAAATGTTGTTGTTCGGCTTTTAGAAGGTTGTCTAACTGCAAGATTACCACCACTGCTGACTGGTACTATTAGCTCCGGTTTAGCATCAACATCTGATGATAGGTGGGCTACACGCCGATCATTTACACCGACGGTCTCACAAGTATGCATGCCTTCTGCAACTGCACCTGCATTTATTTCTACTTCACGTTCAAGTTGTACAGAACCTTTGTTCAACTCAGCGGTAGTAAGCATTCCCCTCATCTCACCATGATCAACCAAAGACAAAAGCGTTCTATCGTGATCATTATCACAAATATTCAATTTACCGTCGTCTATCTGGTCGACTCCATCATTTTCAAACTCTTAAATAACAGAAGTGGACGATACGGGCTCTTCCTCACAAACCCTTGAAGGTTTTATACCTTCACTCTGACTAGTAATACCTTGTAAACTTGTGGAGCCAGAACTGGACTCCGAAACTGTAACTCTCTTCTTCTGCACAGACTGTGATGTAGTCTGTGACACTCTATTCGACAGTGTCTTACCAGTTACAACTACAGGCTTCTTCACCGCACCACTATCGTCACACAATTTGTAGTCAGAACGTGATGACGCTGCTTTCACATTTAGCTTACTATTAAACTTGCTCACTGATACACAGTTTGCCTTTGTATGCACTTCCTGCAAACTTGTAAAACATAGCCGTGTTTGTCTCGGAAATTGTAACCTATATATTGGGGATGTCCAACGAAAGCTGTTACAATCACTAAGTTTATCTGGATTACTAAACACCATAAAGCTTTCTCGATATCCGCTTCTGTCAATGTAGTTGAAGATTGAACGATCAATTCACGATTGTCTGCTCAAAACCAACTTCCCCAATTTTCGCGGAGGCATCAATACGACAGTCATCGTCTCTTCGGTCGCTGTTCAGAAAGAAGTCAGCAGAAAACCGTCAGAAGTAATATTGTGATTTATTATTGTAATATTTGTTCACAGACCTTAGTTGTAACAGTGTTTATATGTTGGTGTAACAATAAAGAATCCTCGAGTCAACAATTGGTGTTTTGGTTTTTTCGTCCGTTATTACTGAGCGTTTCTGAGAAACTTCAAGGGACAGCGTGGGCCCGAGCGTAGCAAGAGCTGGGCATTAATGGTTTATGAGACGTGACTGACAGTTTCGGACGGTGAAATCAGTTTCTGACGGTAAAAAGTCAGTTTAAAACGGTTTTGGACAGTTGGCACGACTTTGGATAGTCACCGTTCATCTTTCCTGGTGCCGGTCAAGTCCTTGTTGAACAAGCAATATCTGGAACATTTTCGGAATTGGGTCAAGTTCAACAATGCCTGGGTCAAAGAAGGGACAGAGTGTCTTGGATGCAAACAGGAAAGTAGGTCATGTTGACTTGTCTGTTAAATGCAACGATGTGTCTGATGTTAAGCATGACATGGTTGATGTTACTGTTTAGCCGTTCAGGGATAATAAGAATATCAAACTCCCTAAATTTGAACCACGATGTTTCGATGGAAACCCGGCTGATTATTTACAATTTGTAAGGGAGTTTGAGATCATGCTGAGTAGTTTTCTACTAAGTGATGAAATGAAGTTAATGTATTTGATGAGGTATTGCACTGGAGATGCTTCAAGAGCTATACAGTGCAGTAAGCTCATGCCCCCTACTGAGGCATACGCTGAGGCTATGAGCATATTACGTCAAAGTTTTGGAAGACCTTCGATGATTGCAGGGAAATTATTCGAGGCTGTTAAGGGTAATGGTGATCAACTACAGGATGACTCCCAGGCACTTACTGAGTTTCTGGATAATTTGCTGAATTACAAGAATGCATTGATTTCGATGAATTGCATGAGTGACCTCAACTCGAGTTTTACACTAGAAGAAATAGGTTCATAGAAGTGAAATGGTCACAGACTAAGCGAGCAAACAGAAAGAGAGACCAACATACACATACACACATAAATATATATATGTGGGTACATATCACCATTGTTGAATGGAGTGTCACAGCATAGAGTTACTGCTTCAGAGTGCAGTTCTGACTCCACAAGTTTACAAGGTATTACTAGTCAGAGTGAAGGTATGAAATATTTAGGGATTTGTGAGGAAGAACCCAAATCATCCACTGCTGTTATTAAAGAGTTTGAAAATGATGAAGTCGACCAGATAGATGATGGTAAATTGAATATTTGTGATAATGATAGTGCAGATTTGTCTTTGGGTGATCATGATGAGATGAGGGATATGCCTACTACTGCTGAGTTGAACAAAGGTTCTGTACAACTTGAACGTGAAGTAGAAATAAATGCAGGTGCAGTTGCAGAAGGCATGCATACTTGTGAGACCGTCAGTGTAATTGATCAGCATGTAGCCCACCTATCATCAGATGCTAGTGCTAAACCTGAGATGATAGTAAAAGACAGCAGTGGTGGTGGTCTTGCAGGTAGACAACTTTCTGAAAGTCGAGCAACAACAGCTTTTGATTCACCGCTAACTTCATCAACTGGTATCAATCAGTCGTCGTTGGTGTTGTCATCCACAATGAGAAGGACGCCCGTCAACTCCAGTATCTTCAGCAATGACTATGATAGTACTCGTGTATTTGAAAGGAAGAAAGATATTGCTCAGTTTAGTGAGGATAAGCCAAGTGTAAACGAAAGAGTAATTGTTAAATTGGCTTGCATGAATAAAGGCATTTCTTGTTTCAAGTTACTATTTGAATGCTATAATCTTTGGTGTAAACTACTCTGTTTCTACGCTTGGTTGGTCAGATATGTCGTGTGTTTGTTCGTCATCTATATTTTACGATACAATGACATGAGCGTGTCACCGTTCAGATTTGAGGATATAGCTGATAGAAGGAAGTCAGCAAATGAACTCTGCGATGATTTTCCAACCTAGGGCGTCAACCTGAGAAGGGTTGTAGGCGTACTGCTGTAAGTCCTACAATTCTTCAAAGGGTAGCGCATCAATGAGCAGTCCAATGTGCTTGTTGTGTGATTTTGTACATATGTTCCTGTTGTATATACTGAATTGATATCATCTGTCATCTAGCTGTTGGTAATTCTGTTTGTGTCCGGACGACTTCCACTTGGATCATCAACCTGAGAAGGAATGTAGGCGTACTGCTGTGAGTCCTACAGTT